CCCCCCCCCCCACACACACACACAGGGTGTCAGTAAAGTCTACCACTTTTCGCAGGGGCATCACTAAGTCTGGGCGATGGTGCGGGTCCTTATCCATCAGTCCAATGCATCCTGACGGACTGTCGGGGTTCACCCCGGTGAAGTGCTGAAACGACGAACAGTCTGGCACAGCCATGCCTTTTTCTTTGTGCGGTTGTGTATAGTGAACACACACACACACACACACACACACACACACACACACACACACACACACACACACGCGCGCGCGCGCGGAGAGAAGCACATGCTGCACACACACACAAAAAAAAGGTAACCAAAATTGGATCCAGCCTAGCTCATGCGGCTGACTGGTGTACACATGGAACAATCAATCAACAGATAGTGAGTTTTGAGTGCTGAAGGGAACTAGTCGGGTGGATATAACATCATAATTTGGGGTCAAACGAGATCCGCAATACCATGCAGGTTGCATGTTCACAAGCCACAGACGTACACAAAAGGTAAGACAAGGAAATTTCGATGTGTGTGTTTGTCATCTTCACTATACACAAGTCCATTAAAAAAATGAATGCCCCTTTCTTGGACAGTTTTGCGATTGCTGTGACTACGATCTCAGTGTCGTGTCTATTTGCGAATGTTTTCTTTCATCGAGTCATCAGAAGGTTGAACTGCGACAGTCTGCCCAGGATGGATTTGACTGATCGATAAGGACTCACCAAGTCGCCCAGAGTTGAAGAAAGTGTAGCGGTGGAAACCGCAGCAGTGAAAACTGCTGCATCCGAAATTACTGCAGCAATGGGAACTGCAGTAGCAGAAACTGCTGGAGTGAAAACCGGAGCTGTAGAAACTGCAGCAGTGAAAACCGGAGCTGTAGAAACTGCTGGAGTGAAAACCGGAGCTGTAGCAACAGATGAGCAAGCAGGAGCAGGACAAGAGCGACGCGGGGGCAAAGAAGAAAGTGGATGATACAGGGACCATCGCAGCTTGCGTCGGAACCACTGAGAGAGACGCGTCACATGCGTAGGATAGCGATGCTGGCCGGAGCGCATGTAGCATGTCAACCCTTTAGCAAGGGTTGGTGGGGAATGCCCACGGGAAAGCATGTATAGGACGATATATTGGCAGCTCAGTGAAACTCCGACGAAACAGTTTGTCACAGCCCCTTGTTTGTTGTCCTCTTCTCCCTCTCTGCCTACGGTTCACTATATTTTTTCACTTGTTTTTTTTTTTTTTTTGGTAAAGAATTTCGACGTGACCCTGAGGCAAAAGTT